GACCCAGGCGGCCAATTGCTGCTGAGACCAAACCAAGGAGGGATGGCCCGTCAGCAGCTCATGATCGCTGACGGGGAAGGGCCCTTCCACTCCCAGAACTCCCACCGGGTTTCCCTGCTCCTCCATCTGTCTCCCTCTCTACCTCCAGGTCAGACCTCGCTCTCCTCAACACTTTTCCACTTCAATCCACTTGACCTTCCTTGTAGAGAAAACAGAAGCCTAAACCAGACCTCCCAGAGCCTCACTGGCAAAGGCAACAGTTCACCTGGGTCCGTCCACTTCCCTCACCTCCTTCCTCAGGGGCGCACCTGTGTCTGCAGCCCTGATCCCCACTCCTAACACCTGGGCTCTCGGTCTCCTTCTCAGCTTGGCTCAAGCCATCTTCCTCTTACCTGAGTTCGTGAAAGGCCTCTTGTCCACTCCCAGCATCTTCTCTGGCCCTCCCCAAATTTGTTCTCTATTGATGAGGTCAGATCTTTCTTATGCAGTGAAAACTCCATCATGTCATTCTAGGGCTAGAATCCCCACCTGCTGGGCCATTGCCCTTGACTGAGGTTCCAAGATTGTGGATGGCCCCCACCTCCCTCCCGAGGGTGAGTCATCTCACTCTCTTCCCCCAACACCCAGGAGATCTTTTCATCCCTGGAATTGCTGGGCACCCTCTCCCCAGCCCTCCACCCACACGGGCCCTCTCTTCCCCAGAGCCTGACAAGCTTCTCTTCATCCAAAATCACGCCTCTCATGTTGATAATGGAGCAAAGTTATGCATAGGTGAACATGAGCGGTGCACAGGAACTCTCTGCACTTCCTCCCCATTTTGCTGTGAACAAAAACTGTTCTAAAAGGAATACATTTGGGTCTGGGGATGGGGCTTAGTGGTAGCACGTTGCCTGGCATGCATGAGGCACTGTTTGATTCTCAGCACCGAATACAAATAAATAAAATAAAGGTCCATCAACAACTTTAAAATATTTTTTAAAAAGAAAAGAAAAAGAAATACAGTCTGTTTAAAAATAAGTCCCTCTGCAGGAAGACCCACCAGACCATCCATTCTAGTTTAGACTGTGTTCTTATCTTACAATTCCCTGTTCTGGTGCTCTATATGTTTAATAAGGATTATAATGCCTTCCACTGTTGTCGTGCATTTAAAAAATAATAATAAAATCAATAATAAGTAAATAAATAAATGCATCATATTAAAAAACAAATAAAATAATTCCCTGTTCTTCTCCTGGGTAGCATTTCAGTTCCAATAAAGCATTTATGTTCATCTTCCGTTTACTGCCTGGCAGCCCCTGTTGGAGAACTGGACTGTTACTGATCTCAGGGATCAGCAAACCTTTTCTGCAAGGGACCATGTAGTAGATGTCTTGGACTCTGAGAGCCACACAGTGTCTGTGTCAACTCCTCCTCTCTGCCACTGAAGCACCAAGGGAGCTGTGGGCAGCAAGGCCAAGAAGCACAGCTACACTTCAACAAAAAACATCATTTACAGAATGGGCCTGATTTGGCTATGGGCTGTTGTTTGCCCACCCCTCGTGTATATTAAGGGCCACTATGCTCAGAGCTGAGGGTTGGGGGTACTGGGGATTGAACTCAAGGGAGCTTTTTACCACTGAGCCACATCCCCAGTCCTTTCTATTTCTTATTTTGAGACAGGGTCTCACTGAGTTGCTTTGGACCTGCTCAGTTGCTGAGGCTGGCCTAAAACCTTCTGCCTCAACCTCCTGAGTCACTGCGCTTACAGGTGTGCACCACCATGCCTGGCCAGAGCTGAGACTTTCATTTAGTTATGTGCCAGGTGCACTTAAAGTGCTTTCTGTGTATTCATTTGTGCAATGTTTTGAATGACTTTATGAGGCAGAAACTATCAGTGTCCCCCTTTACAGATAAGCCTGAATCACTGAGACCACACGCAGCCACTAAGTACAATTTGTATGCAGGCAGTCTGGCTCCAGGGTCAACCCTCTTGCAGAATAGACTGTGTCAATGAGTGATCAGATGAGAGTGGCCATGAAGGTCTTCAAACACTTCAACATTTTGCAGAGGTTCAAATGTTATCTTTCTCTACACCAAGGTTTCCCCCTCCACTGGGAAAGCCCTGCAATAAGCCAGACTGGCAAGTCCTTTTCCCCTCTGTGGATCTGAGTCCGCAATGTCCAAGGCACAGCAGCATGAAAGAAGCCAACTTGCTCATTTCCTCTTTGTGTATTTAAAAACTTTTTTTTTCTTCTCCACACTGGGGATGGAAATCAGGGGCACTCTATCACTGAGCTACACCCCCAGTCCTTTTTATTTTTCATTATGAGACACATTCTCACCAAATTGCCCAGGCTGGCCTCAAACTTGTGATCCTCCTGTCTCAGCCTCCCAAGAAGCTGGCAGATTACAAGGAGTACTGTTGCTGAAAGCTTGGTCCTTGTCCCTGATGCCTATCCAATTAAGAGGACATGGTTTTTAGAAAAAGAAAAAAAGAAGGTTGGGCTGGGGATGTGGCTCAAGCAGTAGCGCGCTCTCCTGGCGGGCGTGCAGCCCGGGTTCGATCCTCAGCACCACATACAAAGATGTTGTGTCCGCCAAAAAAAAAAAAAAAAAAAAAACTAAAAAATAAATATTAAAATTCTCTCTAAAAAAAGAAAAAAAGAAGGTTTATTGCTTGGGTACTCCTCTCCCAAGGCTATGATTCCGCCCATCCTCAGGAATAGGGGGCTTTTATTAGAGGTGATTCAGAGATAGTGAGATTAGGGAGGAGAGATCAGAAAAGAGAAGATCAGGGGCTGGGGATGTGGCTCAAGCGGTAGCGTGCTCGCCTAGCATGCGTGCGGCCCGGGTTCGAGAATCGAGGGTTCGATCCTCGGCACCACATACCACATACAAATAGAGATGTTGTGTCTGCTGAAAACTAAAAAAAATAAATATAGTCACAGCATCAAGTGAACCTCTGTTACAGTACCACTGCACCCAGCTCCAGTCCTCCTTTGGCCCAGGCTCTTCCTAAAGGTGTATCAGAAATGGTGAATCCAGGAGATCATCTTGAATTCCAATGCTACAGTGCCTTTTTTTTTTTTTTGCTGAATTTGTCAAACGCCAAGGTGTCTCTTAGCTGAGGGGCAGGAGGATGGGGGCTTAAAACATGGCCTGTCTACCTCATAGGGAATAGAATCAGATGTAGCTTCTTGGGACTCAGTTTTTACATCTGTAAAATGGGGATCGGAACACTACCTGTCACTTAAAGTGGCTGTGATCATGCAATGGGATCAAGAGCCCAGGGGACTCCCATCCAAGCACTTCATAAATGCCAGGGACTGTCATTCTCCTTATCTGGGTACTCAGGACCCAGGACAACACAGGCCTTGGAAGCAGATGAGGCTCAATGTAAATCCCACTTCTGCTCCTTACTCGCTGTGTGAGTCTATTATGCCACTTACCCCAGAGGGTTCCCTGTCACTTACACCTCCAGAACATTTTGGGAAATTGATATAGAGTTGGAAAACCATTTTTCTCCCTTATGAGGGTCCATGTATATATTTTTAAATCTAGTATTTACTATCACCATTGTTTTTTAAAAGAAAGAACATTTTAAACTTCGCCCCTCCCAAGAAGAAGGACATTACCTGTGAATAATGAACCTGCAACATTGATTCCCTTATTCCAATCCTTTCCAGAATTTGAAAAACTGAGATTCACTCTAAGCCCCATTTTTCTCTTCTGCAAAATGGGGTGACATAGCTACCTACCCCAGCGCATGGATCTGACCTTTGCTAGTAGGTCCCTGGCTGTCAGCCCCTCCCCTGCTCTTCCTGTAGGCTGCTTCCCCTCCCGCCACTCCAACCCCTCCTACCCACTCGCCTTCCCTTGTCTTTTGATCCTCCTGGAAGCTCAGAGGTCGGAAAGGTCCACTGCCTCGGATCTCTAAGGACTTTACTACGGGGAGCGTCGGGGAGGGGTGGGTGGCGTATTCAGGTCCAGCCCTGGTAGGGATGATCAAGAGGGAAGAAAACACGCTCCATCCAGGTCAATGTAGGGCCTGTGCAGAAAGGGTCTATTTTCCGTCCCTGAGCCTGTTCAGGGCTGGGCCCAGCTGGAGGACAAGGCCTGAGGGAGGAGATTTTACTATCTTTGGAGACAAAAGGGCCTTTGTGTGCTGTGATCTCTGGGTGGGATGGGTGCGGAGAGGGAAATGGTTTATTGGAATGAGAATGAGATTGTAGGGGAGAAAAAGAGACTCCAGAGGCGGAGGCTGGAAAGGAAAAACAGGGCAGAGCCCACAAAGAGGGACGAGGCTGAGACAGAGACACAGAGAAAGGACAGGCCCAGAAAGAGAGCTCCGGGCCAGCTGTGGCTTCTGCTTCTCAGTCCAGGAGACCTGAGGAGGGGGGAAGCCGAGCTCCAGCTTGGTATCCACCCTCTCTGAACCTCCCCATCTGACAAAGGGGGCTGGACCCTGTGGGCCTGGGGAGGGGGTGTCCATAAACTAATTTCATTGGTTTTCAAAATCTTGGACCCAAAACACACGTGGCACAGGGGGGAAGAGCAAACCCTCAAGACAGCCCAAGCTGCTGGCAAGGGATGAGCGAAGGTGGGTTTCAAGATAAAGATTGTCAAATAAGTGCCTTTCCTTGGGTGGACAGTCTTGGGTTGGAAGCCAGAGAGTCAAAATGAGCTAGTAGTTCTGTTCCACAGGGCCCCAGCTCTCTGAGATTCAAGTTCTAAAAGAGGGTCTCCCCTGAGACCTGAGAAAAGAAAGCTGTGACTGAAGAGAGGAGGAAGGCAAGAAGGTCCCTTTCTTCTGACATAGGCTGGACATTGAGCAAAGGGAATCTAGGAGGGAAAAGCCAGTTCTTCATTGGGGGGAACCCAATTCCTGTCCCTGTTCTTTTTTTTTTTGATTCCTTGCACATGTATGAATATATCCCAACAAATCTCACTTTTAGGTATAAAAATAAAGCACCGATTTTAAAAATTTAATGGAGACCAGTAGAGTTGAACAAGGGGGTTGGGGAGGGAGGAACTAGAGAATGAAATTGATCAAGTTGTGATGTGTGCATGTCTGAATATGTCACAATGAATGCCACTGTATAATTATAATGCACTAGCAAAAACATTTTGAAATAATTGTTCCTCCACACTGTCTTTGGGGGCAACCCTTGGAGGATGGGGCCCAGCTGGTGCCCCAGAGCCCCAGGAGAGTTCAGGTCCACAGGAGCCTGTTGGATTTGAGCCCAGAGAAGCACATGTTGCTATTGCAGCTGCCTTGGTAACTTGGGGGACAGGCGGAGCATGGCTTCCCCATCTTGTACGGAGCCTCACCGATCCAGTTGCCCCTGGAAGAGAAAATGTCCCAGGGAAGAAGGGTTAGGAGACAGGAGCTCATAGACTTCAAAACCTCAGCCCATCCACTGGGGCTCTCTGACCCTGGGCAAGTCTTCATATGCAAAGCCACCAGAAGGCCCTTCCCTCTTGGGGGTGCAGCAAGGATCAGATGGAGGGCTGTGAGCATGTGTGACAGGTGCTCACTTTGGTGCTGACTACACCCCTTGTGGCTTTGAAACTCACCTTTTTCTTTTTCCCAATGTTCTTCTCCCTGACCTTTTCCTCCTTGATCTGTTTTTCCCTAAACTTCTCCTTCCTGATCTCTCCTCCCTAATCTCATTTTCTCTGAATGACCTCTATAAAAGACCCCTGTTCCCGTAGATGGGCAAAATCATTGTCTTTGGGGCAGGACTCCTCTGTGCTTCTCCTTTGCTGGCAAAGCAGTAAACCTTCTTTTTCCTTTTTCTTAAAACCATGTCCTCATTACTGGATTGGCATCGGGGACAAGGCAACACATACAGGTCAGGGCATCAGGCCTGGCAAAGGAGAGTCCCTGCAAGCACTGATCTCCTTATTCCCCCATTTCCCCTGGAGGAAGCAGATCAGAGTTCTGGTCCTGGCTTCTGGTCTTGGTGACAGGCTGAGCCACCTCATTTCTTGAAACTTGATTTTATCCTCTGCATAAACTAAATCAACGAAATAGTGCCTGTTAAAATTATGTGAGAAAACCTTGTGGTTTAAGAACACTGTGCAGATGTGGCCACATAATTAGCCCTTGAGTGTAACTGGAGCATGGGGAGGAGGGGGTCTCTGCCTCTCCCAAGGGATTTTGAAACTTGGGTGAAGAAAAAGGATTATTACTATTTTGGGGGACAGGGTACCAATGATCGAACTCAGGGGCACTCGACCACTGAGCCACATCCTTAGCTCTATTTTGTATTTTATTTAGAGACAGGGTCTCACTGAGTTGCTTAGCACCTCGCCATTTCTGAGGCTGGCTTTGAACTCACGATCCTCCTGTCTCAGCCTTCTGAGCCGCTGGGATTACAGACATGCGCCAAGGCGCTCAGCAAGAAAAAAGATTATTAGTGGCCTCTCTGAAATACCAAACTTGTATGGGGTATGTAGAAAAGAGGAAGGGATACTGTGTATATCTTTCTCATCATTGAATTCTTAGGACCCCTCCTGTTCTGGAGCCCCCTTTTGGCATGGGCACTTACTTAATGGCGTAGTTGCAGACCAGGTACACCGCTTGATGCCAGGTGCTGCCCCAGACACTGATGCTGGCACAGGTATGGATGGCGCAGCCCAGCCGACTGGAGGATGCCCACACCATCTGAGGAGGCACAAAGACAAGGGATGCTGAGAGGGACTGGGTGGGGCCCAGGTTCCTTGGGGTGCATGGCCCTTGGGATTGAGTCCAGTGGGTGCATTAGGTAAGGTCTTCTTGGGGAGTTGGCCACATGTCCCAAGATAGAGGCAGGGTGGGGGGGGCTAGAGGCATTCAGACTATAATATAATGTTTCTCAAAATATTGTTTTACTACACCCAACCATAAGGAATAAATTTCATATTGTTATGCACACATACACACAATTGAAACAAAAGGTTTTGAACCAATGTTTAGTTTTATTGTGTGCAATATAAGCTAATATTTTCTACGTTGTTCTATTCATTTTATTTATTTATTTTCTCCTAGTGACCAACCTTTGAAAATCATTGATGTGTTTGTTAGAGATTCAAGACAAACTTTGGAATCAAATACACTTGGATTAGTATCCCAATATTGCCTGCTGTGTGACTTTGACTAAATCTCTTTATCTCTGTGTGCCTTGATTTCTTCATTAGTAAAGTGGAAGTAATAATGTGTCCTAGGAAGTTAGAAAGGACATTTGGGTTAGGTGTCATGTTGTAGAGGGTCTCAAAGTTAGGTTTTGAATTTAACTCCAAATGGGTCCCAGAGAGACGGACGGAGCTGAAAGAAGCCAACTGTCACATGGTAGGAAGCTTCTATTCTATTACAACAAATATAGCATTGTATCGTTCTGCCTAGTATCACAGTATTCAATATTATCTCTCAAAATGTTCCATAGTATTTGGAATATTTGGGGACATTTCCCTTTTTTGAAGATAGTAGGCACAAAGCAGAGCATGATGGCACACAACTGTAATCCCAGAGACTCAGGAGGCTGAGGCAGGAGGATCACAAGTTTGAGGTTAGCCTCGGCAACTTAATGGGGCCGTTTCAAAAAACAAAAGGGCTGGAGATGTAGCTGAGTGGTTGAGCACTTGCTTAGCAGACAACAGAGCCTTGATTTGATTTCTAGAACCAAGGGAGGGGGGGAGAGATATAGTGAGAATCTTAGAAAATGGAAAATTCGGGCTGGGGATGTGGCTCAAGCGGTAACTCCTCTTGCCTGGCATGCGCGGGGCGCTGGGTTCGATGCTCAGCACCACATAAAAATAAAATAAAGATGTTGTGTCCACCGAAAAACTAAAAAAAAAAAAAAAGAAGAAAGAAAATGGAAAATTCCCAAGACACTCAGAATAAAACAAGGTTCACCTCAATGCAACATGCACAGAACTTTCCAGAATCTCCAAAGGTCCCTGCTTGAATTCTCATTTCTGTTCCACCCATCCTTCTCCCTCTAGGTACCAGGGCTTGTTCTGTGTCTGCCCTGAGCCCTGAAGGAGGGGTACCTGGGTGTAGTGGGAGCAGACAGGGCCACTGCAGTGCCAGGGGCAATGCGGGGTACAGTCCTTTGGGGATGGAAACAAGAAATGCTGCTTCTCCTCTGACCAAGACTTCACGAGATCCACCACCGAGCGGTACCTGGGGAGGCCAAGAACATGGAGGAAGCTGCGGGGGAGAATGGAAAATTCACTGTACCGCCAACTGCCCAGGACTTGCTTGGTGACCTTGGGTGACTCACTTTGCTTCTCTTCCTGGTTTCCTCCTCTCTAAAATGGGAATGAGGACAGGAGCACTTACCTCACAGGTGTGTTCTGAAAGTCAGAGGGGGTAGGCTGTGTCGAGCCCTTCCCTGTAGCTGGCACATAGTAAGTGCTCAGTAAAGAGCTTGAACTTGTCATGGTCATGTAAAAGGCATCTCAGACAGAGGCACTTGCATTTTTAGGGAAGGAAAGGCTTGTTGGATCATCTGTGAGGCCTCTGAACTGTGAGATGGGGAGAAGGCAGACCTGGTGAGTCAACCCAAGAAACCCTGCAGTGGTAATTCACAATGGCCCATCTTTACCCCTGACTCCTTTTCCTCATGTGATGACCATGGGCAAGGGTGGGGTCAGGCAGGAAATTTTAGTGGCAGGAAGAGGGGACACGACCTTGGGACAGACTACACGCATTCTTGGCCCCTAAAGCCTGGGGTTGGCCCAGCAAGTGGATGACTTGGAAAAGGGCCTGGGAGCCCGCTGGGCTCCAGTGAAAGGCAGCCCTAAATCTGTCTTTCTCTGTCTGCTGGGGTCATGGCCAATCGGTAGGTGTGGGGCAGCACTGTTTTTCTAACGTTCATATTTGGCAAAGTAAGAACATGTCAATGGTGTGGCCCTCTCGTAAATGTCTTTGACATTTTACTGGCCTGTGAAATCTGCAAGTCAGGAAAGAGCCAAGCCCGGCCAACACCTTGGTTTGCAGACAGCACACTGAGGTTGGGACACGGAAATAACCTTCCCTGGGCTGCACAGATTAGAACTCACTCCCCAGACTCGGATTCAAGAGACGGAATGGGGGAGGCAAGTCAGGCTGGAGGAGTGGGTCTGTCTTTCTCAGACTTTGGGGGGCACCTGTGGACCTGGGGTGCCCCCTGCCAGGGCTCTCATCCCCCAACTCTCGGAAACAATCTAAGTGATTATTTGTTCACCCCTTTGTCATTGTCTGTCCTAACTAGAAGGCAGGCTCCCTGTGGGCAGGAGACTGCTCTGCCTCCTGTCAACGTAGTCCAGCACCTGGGACAGGGCCGGTGCTCAGTGTGTCCAAGGGAGGGAGGGAGGGACGAGATTGACTCACCGGCCAGAATGGATGGAGAGGTTCTGGCCCACATATCGCATCAGCGGTGAGGGCCCATGGGCCCAGGTGCATTGGGTAGCCCAGGCCTTGGCAGAACTGGCCAGTCGCTCATCCCATACCTGGGGAAGAAAGGCCATGAGCTCTTCTCACCCACCCCAGGAACGCGCCCAGTGCCTTGCTCCCCTGCGACAAACCCACTGGGCAGATTAGAAAAAGAAAGCCTCAAGGTCAACCCCGAGTCCACCACGGAGGTCCACCCCAGTCCCATGCCCTTTTCCCTTCACTGGGCCTCATGCTTGAGGCCTTTGACTCCGAGTGTGGTCGAGGTTATTGGTCTAGGCATTCGGTGGTCCCATGAGGGGACTGAGCCCAGGGTGAAGGGAAGATGGCTGATTTTAAAGGTATGATTATTCTATTTTTTTCCTCCTTTCCTTTCTTTAAAATGCAACACTGGGGATTGAACCCAGGGGTGTTATATATTTATTTTTTGAAGCAGGGTCTCATCAAGTTGTTGAGGCTGCTCCCAAATTTGTGATCCCCTTGTCTCAGCCTCCCAAGTCACTGAGACGACAGGTGTGCACCACAATGTCTGGCACATATTCTATTTTCTAAACATATTTATGTTAACATAAAAATTTTAGTTCAGGGCTAGGGATGTGGCTTGATGGTACAGCATTTGACTAGCATGCATGAGGCCCAGGTTCAATGCATGCAAAAAAGAAACAATTATGTTTACCTCAAAAGCGTTTTTTAATATGCAAGAACAGGGCTGGGGATATAGCTCAGTTGGCAGAGTGCTTGCCTAGCATGCACAAGGCCCTGGGTTCAATCCCCAGCACCACCAAAAAAAAAAAAAAAAGTGAACATATATTTATAGACACATACACTGTGTGTGTGTGTGTGTGTGTATTATTTTTCTTTTTCTTTCTTTTTTTTTTTTTTTTTTTTTTTTGACAAATGGCAGCCTGCCAGACTCTTTGGCACCTCACCCTCTTCACTTGACAAAATAAGTTATCTTTGTGATTTTTTTTTTTTTTTTTTGGTACCAGGATTGAACTAGGGCACTCGAACACTGAGCCACATCCCCAGCCCTATTTTGTATTTTATCTAGAGTCTCACTGAGTTGCTTTGCCCCTCACTTTTTGCTGAGACTGGTTTTGAACTCGTGATCCTCCTGTCTCAGCCTCCCAAGCTGCTGGGATTACAGGCATGCGCCATCAGGCCTGGTTATTTTTGTGAGGATTCCACATCAGTGCCTATCAAATACTTTCCTCATCCTTCTGAACAGCTTTATAATTTTCCAACGTATTAATTCCCCAAGTTTTACAGCCAGAAAATGTTTCACTCTACCACTAAGTTATACTCCCAGGCTGGGAGTATAACTTAGTGGTAGAGCACCAGCCTAACATGTATGTGGCCCTGAGTTCCATCCCCAGCACCACAAAGAAAAAAAATCAACAAAAGAATGAATGAGTAAATAAAATAAAATGCTAGTTCCCTTCCAACTCTGAGTCTTTGGGATTCTCTGGGATCTTATTTGTTCACTCAGCAAATATTGAACAATATTTCTGGGCACTGAGGACTCACAGTGTAGCAAGGAAATGAGACATCAAACAACACATGAGTCATTTTGATCCTGGTGTGTAAGAGAATGTGGAGCCAGACAGACTTTCTTGGGGGCTGTGCAGGAAAGAGCTCCTGTGGGGCTTGTCTCACTTCCCATCTTGTAGGGAAAACAGAGGAAAGAGGTGAGTTGAAGGAACACACTCGCTGACCCTCCCTGAGGTCCTTGGGGAGATAATCTGGACTTCTCTGTTCCACGCCAGATGCAATAATTAAACACCAGTTGGGGTGAGTGTCACACACACACTGCTGCTCAATAAATGTGTCATTTGTTTGAAAAGAGGAGGGCTTTCTATGTGTCCGTCCCTGTGTTAATAAATGAATGATTCAATGAACAAATAAGGACTCCCTCCCTCCTTGCTGCAGCTGCTGTTTCCGGGCTTCTATCCCCGCCCCTTTCCAACAATCACCTCCTGGTAACTGATATATATATATATATATATATATATATATATATATATATATATATATATATATATATGTATCTCACCAGGAGGTGACATATATCAGTGACCCCAGGCGGCTAAGTGATGCCCACTCATACATATATGTGTCTTGTTGATTTTTTTTCTCTAACCCTCCTCAAATGAATGCACCACAGGGAAGGAGCCTGGTCCCTCCTGAGCTCTCAGCATGGGGCCAACTCCCAGCAGAGCTGGTATAGAAATGGAGGGGCAAGCTACTCACCTGTAGGCTGAGAGGTGGACTGGCAACTCTTTCCCTGAAGAAATCCCTGTGGGCTGGGAGTCCTCTATCTCCAGCTCAGTTTGGGACAGTGGTGGTAGGGAGGAGTTGTGACAAGGAGCAAATTGTCCTCCACTCCGGGGGGTCTGACTTCTGGAGGACTGGGGTGAGAGACGTCAGCCCTGCCTCTTGGGACAAAAGATATCCCAGTCTCCTCCGCTAACCAGTGACTGGCTTTCCTCAGTCTGAGATCCCCAGGTGCCTGTCCCCACCGCTTCAAACCCTGTCTCTTTGGACTTTCTGGGAACAGTGATCCGGGTATATCAGGCAAACCCTCGGGCCAAGAGACAATAGCATTGGAAGCTCTGGCCACCCACCTCCTATAGGATCCTGGTGTGAGTCATGATTCTTAGGCAGGCTATTGAGGTAGGTTAAGACTGAAGCCTTAGCAGTAGGCACAGCTGGCTTAGAATCCTGGCTGGGTGACCTTAAGCAAATTAATTCTCTGAGTCTCAATTTTAAAATTTGGAAAGTGGAGACAAGATATCCTCTTGATGGAAGAGGGTCACCCCCAGTGCCTAGTGCACATAGGTGCTCTGTACATAGCATTCTTGTCCCCAGATTCACTGGAAGAGCTGGGCAATTGCCTCAGTTTCTTTATCTGTAAAATGGGCAAACTAATTCCTGCCCATTGTACAGGACATCCAGATACTGGCTAGTGGGTCCAGACTGGCTAGTCCTTCCAAGGCAGTCACTCCAAGTCACAAGGAGCAAGCTGGTGTTTGCTGGAAGGGGTGCTGGGTCAGGCACAGGGACTCACCATGTACTCCATGTTGGCTGCAGGTGGGTGCACGCTGGCCCGGATGTGGTTGTGATAATCCAATAAGGCACTCATGTCCCGGGCAGAGAGATGGCGCTTCCGGCGGTACCGGGGCACCCCAAGGCCACTCAGGGGTTGCACAGCCATGCCCTCAGGTCGGCCCAGGGATAAGGTGGCATTGGGCACCATTGAGGCATCCGCTGTCTGGCCTGCCCAGAGGAGCAGGCCTGCCAGGCCCACAGCGCTGGGCAGCAGGGGCATAGCTGGCTGGGGGCACAAATTGGCCTGGTACAGTCAGAGCCAGCTGCCTAGAAGGGGCAGGCAGGAGAGCAGCACGCCCTGAGGTCCTCCACGGGCATTGCCAGCCCGGAGGCTGCTCCCTGGGAACTTGGCAAAGATGGCCTGACCCAGTTCTGGTGCAGATGCCCAGTGCTGCTTCCTCCCCACCCCAGTGGACTGAGAGGGTTGGGTGAGGAGAAGGAATGCCCAGACAGTGGCTAACACAGACCAAGCCCCCAGGGGTGGGACGAGCCACAATGCCAAAGCCAGGCCCTGTCCTGCCCACCCAGGGGACAGACAACCAGACATCCTCTTCTCCAGCCCTCTCCAAGGCCCAGCAGATGCCCACAGAGGCAGCGCCAACCTCTCCCAACCACACTGCAGGGCCCTCTTGCTCCTGAGGTGCTGCAGCTTTGAATTAAGAGGGGGGTGGAGATGGCATAGAGAACACAGAGAAGGAAAGTACAGAGAAGCAGAGAAGCTTGGGGACCAGGCAGTGGCTCCCAGGGGCGCATACCCAGGACAGGTGGTTTGCAGGGGACCTCTGCAGACACCTGGCCTGCCTGGCTGTGCGGAGACTTTAATATCCCCCAGGAGCTGATGGCATCTGACGTCCCAGGCCCCACAGCCCCCTCCCTTCCAGCCCAGCCAGACTGGACAGGGAGGCCCCACCCGCTGATCCATGGGCCTTCTCTCCAGTCCTCCCCATCCCGCTGTTCTGCTTCTATCTGGAGTGTCAGGGCTGCTTCTGAGCTGCGGGCAGAACGGGGATGTGCTGGAGGCAGGAATCCAGGAGGACGCACCCTTCTCCTGGAGAGACCCCAGGCTGGCCTCCGGGCTTCTCTCTGCCTCCCAGACCTGTCGCATTAAGGCCTCCTCACCTCAGGACAGTATTTTCTGACCGTTCTCCCTACCAAGACTTCCAGCCTCAGAGTGGGCATTGAAGACGGCCCTGGCTAATGAGCGCCTACTCTGTGCCAGGCCCAGGGCTGAGAGCTTTACGCACAATCTGGGCCAACCCTCAGAGGCAGGAGCTACACCCCTCACTGGACAGATGAAGAAACCAGCACTAAGAGTTGAAGGAAGGAGCCCAAAGTCAAGTCAGCGGCTCTGCAACAGACCCAGGATGTTGAAAGAATGCCATTTTTTTTTTTTTTTTTGTGGCCAAACCAGATAGAGATGCATTAGGCAAAAGACCTAGGAGGATATTTGCCATGAAGCCACCCAAACGCAGCACCGTGCAGCAGGACACGGGCCTGGGTTCAGGTCCCCTCTATTCCTCACACTAATTGGGTGTCCTGGAGCAATGGCTCCTTGGCGATCTTGTTCCTCATCCACCATGTGGAAGAAGTGGTGCTTCCTGCCCCATCCATGGTTGTAAGATTAAATGAATTAACATCCATGAAGTCAGAACAGTGGCAAGTACACGGTGTGGAGCTCTGTGTGTGTATTTCTGTGTACCTGTGTGGCTCTGCACTTGGGCATTACGTGTGTGCAAATACACTTACACGCACATGTGAGTCACACGTGTGTGCCCTGGTGCACACCTGAGTGTACAGATGTGTGCACACACATGTGAGTGTGTGGTTAAATCTCAGCTATTCTGGATGAGCAAGAGCTTATATTCTCCTCTTTGATTACTTGGGTGTTTTTTTTGTTTTTTTTTTTGGTACTGGGATTGAACTCAGGGTCACTCAACCACTGAGCCACATCCCCAGCCCTATTTTGTATTTTATTTAAAGACAGGGACTCACTGAGTTGTTTAGCACCCTGCTGTTGCTGAAGTTGGCTTTGAACTCGTGATCCTCCTCTCTCAGCCTCTAGAGCCACTAGGATTATAGGTGGGCACCACTGTGCCCGGCTCCTCTTTGATGGCTTGAATCCTCCATAGATAACAAACATTTCTTTTGTAACAGTGGTGTATCAAAAAATGAGGGTAGAAGTATCTGCCACCCTCCGCCTCTTCTTCTAGCAACCTCTGAGAAGCCCCAGGCTAAACCAGTCTGGAGGTGGCAGGCCCAGTCTAGCCCAGCTGGCTGCACAGGGCTGGGGGATGGGACCCAGCAACTCAAGCCAGGTCTTCCCCAGACACATGGAATTCCTGCCCCAGGCAGCCGCCAAGTCCCCACCTCCGTGGCCCAGACAGCACACACTGCCAAAGCCCACACCTTACCACTGCTGCGGAGTCCCCAGCCTGGCCGGCCACTGACTGACCGCCGAGTGCTGGGGGAGGCACAAGGGCAGAGCAGTGAGGGCTGCGGTCTCTGACCCTCCAACCACGACTGCCAATCCACCGCATCCCTGCACCCAGGGTGCTGGTGTCCTGAGGCAAGTCCTCATCTGTCTCTGGGCCTTGGATGTCCCTCTGGAAAAAGTGAACTTAGGCCTCTTCTGACTGGGGCAGGCTGGGTCCCCAGTACACCAAGGCGAGCTCAGCAACCCAGGGGAGGCCCTGGTGCTCGGGACCCCAGGAGACTAAGTGATGCCCACTCTCTCAGAATGCCTGACACGGTCACTCCACATGACTGGCACGGGCATTGGCGCGGAACTTCCCATTGAGGGTTCGTCCTCTTGGCTTCCTTTGAGGTAGGAATGCCACCCATTGTATAGACAAGACGCGGAGGCATGTGTGAGCTTCGGCGGCTAAGGTCTGGAGCTGGTTCCAGAGTAACAGGGTCCCGAACACAGGCAGGGTGTGGGTGCATCTGCACGCCCTGATGCTCTCACGTGGGCACACCCCGCTCCCTGGAATCACAGAGAGCTCGTCCCCCAGCCCTGCGTAGCCTCTCCCACAGGGTGTACAGGAAATGAACATCGTGCATAAATACACAAAAGCCCACCTGGATCTGAGCTGTCTGGACCAGAGGCTGTCCCACAATGCGCCATCTGAAGCACTCTGCAAGACGCGTAGATCCCAGCAGCAGCAGGAGCCCCCTTTTATACGCATAAAGAAACAGATGCTCAGAGGGCAAGTCATTTGCCCAGGGTGACCTCATCAGCGGGTGGCAGAGCCGGATGTGCACCCAATCATTGCCACTTCATAAATACAGACAGACAGATGGACACGGGAAAGCACAGCCTGCAGCAGAGCCACTCAGGTAGAACCCCCATCATTTACCTCGTGAGTTTGCACATCCACAGAAAATCCTGCCGGGCCGCCTCATCTGATGAGTCCCCTCTCCATCTGCATCCGCATAGAATGGTCCTGCTTTCACTACGGTAGCTTTGCAGTGGGTAGAGATGTCAGGTGTGGGGACGGGAAGCAATTGGGGTGGCCCAAGTTAAGGGCTGTCAACCTCACACAGGGTAAGAACCTTTTTTCTCCCCCCTGGATTTTACCCCACTGGAGTCTGCTATTGCCTCCTTCAATGTCCCCATTGGAATTCTTTCTGGGCTTGGGTAAGGGAAGGGGAAATTCTCCCAGAGTGTGGTAGGATCCAAGGCAGGACAGCCTGGTGGGTGAGGGGGCAGGCTCTATGTCCTGACAGCCTGGTTCATGGCCCAGCCCTGTGTGACCATCAGCAAGTTATTTATTCTCTCTGTGCCTCTGTTTCCTCGTTCACTAAGTGAAGCTACCTCGAGACATCAGTGTGAGGACTAAAAGAGTTAGTCCATCTTAGGACACTTGTCACAATGTCTGGCACAGAGCAAGCTGTCAGTGAATAATAATTGCTAATAATCCTAAGAGTCCCCACTTCATTTAGCACATACGAGACTGCAGGCTCTAAGTGTTTCGTGCATATCATGATTTCATTTAAGCCTCCTCTCAGCTCCACGGGTTAAGTATCAGGATCCCCATTCTACAGACAAGAAAATGGAAACTCAGAGAGGTCAAGGAATTTGCCCAAGTTCACACAACTAGTTGCTGGGGAAATTGGATTCCATGCCAGGTCTCTCTGACTTTTACACAGTATTCTTTTTAAAGTAGTTTTTTAGAAAAGATGTGAAGCAGGAGTCTGGTACTTGAGAGAGGAGACCAAAGGTCTTTAGAAATCATCTCAGTCATCCTCTCATTTGCCAGTTGAGGAAAGATGTTCACAGAGGTTAAGTAGCTTGTCCAAGGTCACACAGGAACTGGCAGACTTGGGACAGCAACCCAGATCTGTGTCACTCTGAATCCAAGCAGTCGGAGGAAGAGAACTGAGGAGGGGGCATGTGGAAAACCACAGGTAGGACCCAAGCTCTGCGAAACTCATCACGGCTTCAGAGGAACTGACTCCTCAGCAAATAAATCCTGTGTGGAAGCAGCTCTGAGCTCCAGGCTCTCTTGATCTCTCTGCACCCTAATGGCAATACCACCTGTCCTGCAGATTTCCGGAAGGAGGCAGGATGACCCAGTGTAAGGATGAGGACCAGAATTGTGGAATCAGATAGCTCTGGGTGACCTCAAGGCAAGTCATGGGTCCTCTCTGTGCCTGTTTCCCCATCTGTAAAATGGGAATCGGAAAAGGCACTGCCTTATTCAGCCACTCTGGGAGGTTCAGTGAGAACAGAAGGAGTTTAGCTGACTGCAGTTTGTTCAGTATTAGCGACCAGCCTCCTCAAACAGAAGCACTATGTGAATCCAAAGACGAAATGCTTAGGACAGGTACAACCAACTCAGGTTGACCAAAGTCAAAACAGGGGCTCAATGGGGTTCTCAGGTGGAAAGGGAGCGCCTCAGGTGGGCTGTACACAGTGTGAATTTTTTAAACCAGCATTTATACATACTTACAGGGTAAGAGTGAGAATTTAGGAAGTGTATATAATGCGTATTGATCAAATCAGGGTAATTAGCATCTCCATTGCCTCAAACATTTATCAATTATTATTATTATTTTATTTTATTTTTTATTTTTTGGTACTGGGGATTACCACTGAGCTACATCCCCAGCCCTTTTTAAATTTTATTTTGAGACAGATTCTTGCTGAATTACAGAGGCTGGTCTGGAACTTGTGATCCTCCTGCCCCAGCCTCCTGAGTTGCTGGGATTACCAGTGTG